TCACATATAAACTAATGTGAGAGTAATTATAGGTCATATAAACATCATTTGAAAACGAAATTCGGTGTTTTTATGTGTTCATTACAAGTGGTACTAAAGACCCAATGTCAGGTACCACAACAATATAAAACTGGTATTATCTTACTATATGTCTGGTACTACTTTTTGTAAATGTTGACCCAAATTGAAATAATCAATTTTCGTTACAAAAGTAGGTACTAATCGTTCAAAAATAGGTACCACGTAGAAGAAGATGTGGTACTATTTTGGCTAAAACAAGTACTATTTTAAGAATCGTGATTCTCTAATCCTTCATGTCTACCATGACAAGTTGATCGTTCACGCATGATTTGGATGAAAAATAATGAAAGTTAAAACATATAGGTAGAATTTGGAGTAGTCATGTATGATAATCCTATGAGATGAAGTGTGTCATTCAATAAAGTGAAGTGTATTAGTTGTGTTTTCTCATTAGTGTGTCGAGTTCATGACCAATTTGAGATTAAATTCAATTGAAAACATTTTAAATCTCATATAAACTAATGTGAGAGTGATTATGGGTTATATAAACATCTTTGAAACCAAAATTCGGTGTTTTTATGTGTTCGTTACAAATAGTACTAGAGACCCAATATCAGGTACTACAACAATACAAAACTAGTACTATCTTACTCTATGTCTGGTACTACTTTTTGTAAATGTTGACCAAAATTGAAATAATCCATTTTCTTTCACAGAAGTAGATATTAATCTATTAAAAACAGGTACCACGTAGAAGAAGATGTGGTACTATTTTCGCTAAAACAGATACTGTTTAAGGAATCGTGATTTTTTTTTTAATCTTTCATGTCTACCTTTTCATGTGGATCGTTAACGCGCGATTTGGATAAAAAATAGTGCAAGTTAAAATATGTAGGTAGAATTTGGAGTATTCATGTATGATAATTTTATGAGATACAGTGTGTTATTCAATGAAATAAAGTATATTATTAGTGTTTTCTCATTAGTATGTCGAGTTCATGACCAATTTGCGATTAAACTCAATTAAAAATATTTTAAATCTCATATATACTAATGCAAGAGTGATTATGGCAGAAATTCTATGGCACCACATGTGGCACCATAATATGGTGTCACATGTGGTGCCATAGAATTTCTGGTGATTATGGGTCATATAAGCATCATTTAAAAAAACCACGACCATTGAACAAAATGCGTGATACAACAAAACAAGAAATGCACTCATAATGCTTGTTATCTTTCATTATTCCAACCAAACTGGGCGCTTGCTATCTTTCATTATTCCCTCCAAATTCACCATGGAATCTTCTCTATTTTCGATATAATGCTTGTAAACGAACCGGGCCCCACCATTTGCTCCCCCATCCTCGAAAAGCCCCAACAGGTACTTTGCCAATAGATCCAAACCCTTAGAGCCTACCAAAACTCCCTCTCCGGAGAAATTCCTCCCGATATAGCCTCGTGGTTGCTGCTGCAGGACCTTCATCTGTAGGAGAACACATTTCCAGGCGATATCCCGACGAGCTTTTTTACACTGGCAAACCTAGATCACGCGAATTTAGTGGGGACCAACTTCTTCGGTAACATATCACCAGGCTCGCTTCCCAATTTATCCCGACCAGGCTCATTTTCGAGGAAGAATTGGAAAAAATCGCCTAACTGGATCGCTTCCCAATTTAACGGGCTAACTAGCCTGATTCCTTTGAATTTGTCCTGTTTTTCGGCACAAAGTATTAAGTTATCAACAAGTGCAAACTACATAAAACTTACGCATGAGCCTTCTCATTCGGTGATGCAACGGGGAATTATATTCGCCCGGGAAATAATTAATAAATAAAAACACAGTAGCACACAAACTTTTTCTTGCTATACATAATGCTTCTTACATACCCACAAAACTTTTCTTCAGCATAACAACAGTTATGCATAATTACAACCACACTATTCAGTTTAGTAATGAGAAGACTAAATTGAAAATTTTCTACAGAAAGCAAAGCGGAAAATCGGAAATAAATAATAAATAAAAACACAATAGCACACAAACTTTTTCTTGTTACACATAATGCTTCTTTCATACTAAAAAATTAAATTGATAGGGCACGCTGATGAGAGATTTTTTTTTTAAAAAAAAAATATACAACAGCAAAAAAAAAATGTACCAAAATATGTATATTCGTACAAAACCCTAATTTATAAAGAGCCCTAATTCAAAAAATACCAAAATAAAAAAAAATGAGGAACCCTAGATATGCAAAGAGCCCTAATTCATCAATGAAATTCGTAATTGGTGAAATATAAGTCAAATTCAAAGTTCATTAGCATCAACCAAATCCCAAATTTTGAATTAAAAAAAATTAAATTTTTGAACAAAAAAACCCAAAAATTAGAATTCTAAAAATCTTACCTTGTTTAAGGTTTTGGAGGTAGAAGATGCCAGTTTATTGGATGTGATTTTTTTTTCGAGACTGCCATTGTATCTCGATGGCCGGAGACGGAGGGGCAAGCTTTTCTAGGAGATGATGGCCGGCGACTTAGGAGCACGCTTCACGCTTCACGGAGATGGAGGTCGAGGGTCAGGCTTGAAGGAGCTTTAATTTTTGTGATGATGGCGACGACAAAGATGGAATATTCAAGTGGCCGGAGATCGGTTAATTTGGGGACGGACGAGAGATGAACGACAGAGAAGCTTGAAGAGAGAGAGATAAACTTTTTTTCCCTTTTTTTTTTGATTCAATAGAAATTAAATGGTTAATAATAATATTAGTATATATATGGGTAGTGGGAAGGAAAGAGAGATGATATGTTAGGGAGTGCAGAGTAAAATAAAATACTAAGGGGCTGACAAGGAAAATGAATATGGCATTAGGGATTTAAGTAGAATTATCCGTTATAAATATCCTAGTATAGGGTTCGTATGTGATTATCTTCTCGATTGAGCTCTCAACGGCCATGGCATTTACTATGTTAAACACTTTGTTTCGTGCGTTTTCTTCATTGATTGATTTCTTATTTTTGTTCAGATGTAAAATAATAAAATAATTGATAATGGTAGATAAAAAAAAAAAAATTGTTGTAAACAATATCAATACTCTTTTATCAGTGCCCATACTCACAGGTATGTGTGATTATACTAAAAATTTAATATAACTTAAATCTAACAATCCCTCCATATATATTAATTAAAAACGTGTTGATTTTAGGTGGCAGATTCTCACGCTTCGGGTGCTGACATAGCGAAAATCTATGATTCGTGATGTTTTTATATTATGTTTGCTAGGTTTGGTACTAGACATAAATAACTTTGCACATATATTCATTAACTCAACACCCGGCTGCTATTTCGTGTGGTGGTGGAGCCGTTGTGCGGTTCATGGGGCGGGACACGGCTTGCTTGCTCGGCGTTTTTGCTGGGCGTCGAAAGCGGTGAAGGTACTCACGGCCATCTCTCTTTTTTCTCGATTTACGGGTCAATGGGGGC